TGCCCATATTTGCAGCTGTAGTGCCTGTCAGTGGCGCGTCTCACAACAAGGGTGTCCTGTACAGCCTGCTCAGGGCAATCTGGACCTGACCTGACCGCTGGCCTTTAGGTTGGGAACTGCAAGCCTGAATTGCAGCCCTTCCCACCTCTGCCACACGCATGCACGCACGCACGCACGCACGCACGCACGCACGCATCAAATGCTGGTCGGAGGCCGCTGCCTCGGAGAGGCCAAAAAGTCCATGTGTGTTTCTAAACGCCCCCCAGCATCCCCTACCACCATCTGACTAGTTTGTCTCATTCTACAGTTCCTTAAATAAAAATGTTTAAAGAAATAAAAGAATTCTGTAGGATGTGTAACTACTTCTGATCAGCTTAATTTAAACCCTGACTGAATAGTTTCAGGAATAACCCTAGTCACCACTCACCTGTAACCTGTAAGTCAGAGAGTTCCCGTGCCCTGGTCTTGGCACAGGATCTCACCGCAGGAAACACAGACCAGCCACCGAAATAGTGATATGGGAATGCAGTTCCTCTCGGTGAACCTCTGGGAAGCTTCGCACACTTGTTTCTCCTTTGCTCTGCGTCACTCAGGCTTGAGCACTAGCCAAGGGGCTGGTTCCCCTCCCATGACCCTTCCTGTCCTTGCCTGCCCACCACAGCTCAGCCCCTCAGCCCTAACGAGTGACTTCTCTGCGGTCAGGAGCTGAAAAATTGTTTTAAGTAGACAAGAGAAGATAAGGAGGGGCTGGGGAGATAGCTCAGTTGTGTAAGCCCTGCCTGGCAGGCCCAGCACTGGGGAGGCTGAGACAGGAAGATCACTATGAATCTGAGCTGTGTAATGAGACCCTGTACCAAAAAATAAATAATTTTTTTAAAAAAGATAAGGAGCTTTGCACAGTGGCAGTATTGTAGCCAATGAGGTTTATCCGAGGCATGATTATTGCTAATTGAAAACTTTTCCAAAAAGATAAGGAAACCCTTCCCCTTCTCCCTCCCTCAACTATATTCAAGTACCTTTGTTCTATATATGTAAAAACAAAACAAAAAACCCCACCCTTTCTATTTAAGCCAGCCAGGGTGGCACATACATGCAATCCTGCAGTCTGGGAGGCTGAGGCAGGAGGGTTGCAAGATCAATCCCAGCCTGAGCAACTTTGAGACTTACTGAGGCATTATCTCAAAATAAGGGCTGGGGGTGTAGCTCAGAGAAAAAAACAAAAAAACCCTGCATATAATCCCCAGTCTTACCACAAAACAAACAAAAACCTCTTTCATTTAGAAATTTATTCTTAGGGCTGGCCAGGTAGCTCAGTGGATAGGCAGACACGGGCCAGGGTTCAATCCTCGTCCTGCCCTGCCGGTGCCACCACCAGAGCACCTGATTGAGACTGGGGCGCCTGTCATGCTAGCGCTTGGGAGGCTGAAAAACAGGATCACCACAAGTCCACCCTGTGTAGTGAAACCCTGTAGACCCTGTACTTAATAGATTAAAAAAAAAATATATTCTTAGTATACGTTTGTAGTACACTGTGCTTATGCTCCGTCTTAATTCTGAAAGGTGCTCTGAACTCAGGTGGGCAAGCCCAGCTCGTGCGTCCCTTCTGTGGATTAGTGAGCCTTTTAGTGCTTTGCAGTTAGCCATGGAGAGGACGTGCTGGCAGTGGCTTCAATGACACCAGGCCCAAGCTCTGCGGGTGAGTGCCAGGTGGAGCCTCACCCCAGGCTTGGGCTCCTTTCAGGCGGTGGGAGGGGAGAGAGAGTGTGGAGCCCCCATTGTGTCCTGGACCCCCGGGTGGGTCCCACTCTCCGGCTGCTTAACCACTTGCAGACCTTAGCTAGGCTTCACTGTGGAGGCTTGGTAGCAGTCTCATGGTCCTGTAACTTGCCATCCAGCTGCATCTTTTTTTTTTTTAGCTGCATCTCTTAAACAAGTTTTCTTTCTTTTCTTTTCTTTTCTTTTCTTTCTTTTTTTTTTTTTTTTCCGGAATTGGGTATTGAACTCAGGCCCTTGCACTTAAAGAAGCTTTCTTGAACACCCGACCTGGTGATACAACACCTCAAATCCCAGCACTCAGGAGGCAGAGGCAGGAGGATCATTGTGAGTTCCAGACCAGCCTAGGCTACCTAGTGAGTGCAAAACCAGCCTGAACTGCAGAGTGTGATCCTGTTTTAAATAAAACACCTTTATTGAGGAAAAAGCCTCTGTGTCCTGGACTCCCACCACAGCCTGCAGGGGACATTCTGGTCTCTCTCCACCCTGTCCTGGCCTCTCCCTCCATCCCAGGCCATCTGTCTGCTTTAACTGGGCTGCCCCTAGGAAGAGTGGTCCCCAGGTTGGTTCTGTAGTAGGCCCTGGGAGGCCAGGACAGCCCTTGCTGCCGGTCACTGAATTGAGTGGTGTGTTCAGGGAAGCTCTGGGCTAAGGATATCCCAGGGTGGGGGAAGGGACTCACCTAGGGAGGGAGGGACTGATCAGAAAGGAAGCAAGAAAAATGGGGGCGGAGAAAGGGGAGAGGATGCCTTTCTAAAAATATAGCCCATCTGCATTGTGTGAGCTAGTTTCCCGGGAAACCACAGGGAACAGAGCTCTGGCTTGGGTGGTGGGGCTTGGGTGGTGGTGCCTGGCTGGCCTTCCTCTGCTGAGGAGGGGCTTTTGCGGTGGCTTCCCAGTTCTCTTGTGACCTTCAGGGCCTGGGTGGTTAGTGCTCCCCAATGGCCAGGACACTCAGACCCCAACTAGCGTCCAGCGGGGACTCCCTGGGGCTGTGCTTCCTGCTGCTTCTGACACCAGGCTGGGGAAGGCCCAGAGCTGCGCCCTGCCTCATGTGCAGCATAGGTTTTATCCATGGCCCTGTCCTGGATCTGTCTATCCCTGGGCCCTGTGTAGGGAGAAGCCAGCAGGGCGGGGGCGCAGGGGTCTCTCCCAACCAAGCTGCTGATGGGATTGTGAGTTCTCTGGGCAGGAGAGAAAACCTGAAGCTTCACCCTTGAGAAAAATCTAGAAATAAAATTGGAAGGAGGAAGGAATGAAGGGAAGAAGTGAGGAATTCCTTTACCCTTCTGCCCTCCCAGGTTAGACGGCTGTGATGGGATGGGCAGGGCAGCAAGAGCTAGACTTGGAATCCCATCCTGGCCCCATGGGGACAGTGACTGGACTTCCGTTAGCCCTGGTTTTGTCATCAGGGTGAAATAAATAGCACAAGCAAGCACTTACGAGCTATGAGATGTGCTAAGAATAAGAACTAGATCTTCAACCCATCTTGGTTTGGGTTGGACAGGAAGGAAGGAACTCGAAGGGTTCTTGGGGCTTGAACTCGAAGCCTTTGCACTGAGCTACATCCCCAACCTTTTATTATTTTTTTATTTTGAGACAGGATAGTGCTAAATTGTTGTTTCCCACTGTGGGCTTAAACATGCAATCCGCTTATTTATCTCTGTCTCTCAGAACGCTGGGATTGCAGGCATGCACCACTGTGCCCTGCCCCAGTCTGTCTTGGAAAATGTTTTCCCCTGATTGCAGACTCTGTACCCTGGTTTGCAGCCCTCCGCTCAGGGCTTATTCCTGTGAGCTTTTTGAAACACAGATGACCAGGTTTTTTCCTGCAGCACCATGCATACCATTCCCATTGCTTCTTCCCTTATTATGGTGCAAGCTTTCCCCGTGTACTGAGTAATCTCTTGTCAGCCATTGCAGTGACATATGTATCTGGTGACCTGGTGACAGACATTCAGACGTGTCCAGTTTCTCTATTGTAAATGGCATTGTAAATGGCCGGCATTCCTGGACTACACCATTCTCTGCGTTCTCCAGTTTTTTAGGAAGTTTCTCCCAGGAAAAGATTGCTGGGTCTCAGAGTGTGAACATTTTAGATAACTTACTGGTTTTGCACAGCTGCCATCCAGGAAGACGCATCGGTGTGTCACTCTCAAGCACCGCAAGCCAGTGCCTGCTCTGTGCGCCTCTTGGCACCGCAAGCTGTGTTAGTTCCGTTTGCCAAAACGGAAAGAGGAGCGTGTTTGAATTTCCATCTCTTTGACTTCTACACAACTGGGGTATTTATCTGTGTATTCATTATCCAGTTTTAATTCTCTCACAAATTTCCAGATCACATCTTTGGCTAGTTCTCCCCTTGCTGTGTATTCTGACCTCTGCCACCCAGAAATCCAAGTGAGGGCTGGTGCCAGAACTGTGGGAATGGGGCCCTGTTGGTAGCCTGCCTTTTCTCACTGCCAGCTCCTCCCATGAGCGCTCGTCACAAGGGTAGGAAGCCCAGGGATCCCCTAGGACCACCAGCATTGGGGCCCAGGACCCACTATCTGGTAGCTGTGGGTTGAGAGGTGGCCTGTGCCTCTCCTCCCTGCATGCCCTCTCTTTAAATATCACCCTGCCTACCACCCTGACAGCCCTTGCGTTTTCTTTTCTTTCTTTAAAAAAAAAAAATGTATTTGGTACATGGTCTTACTATGCAGCTCAGACTCGTAGTGATCCTTCTGTTTTCAGCTAGGTGGCCCACTCAGTGTGCCCTGGGGGGAGCCATTGGGGCATGGGGTGCAGGGATAGAACCCCATCCCTGTGCTTGCCTCAGCAGGCTCTTTGTCCTCTGAGCTATCTCGCCTGCCTGGCCCCCATCCTTTTCCAGGCTGGCCTGTTCCCAGGAGAGCCTCTCTGACCTTCAGAGTGCCACTGTCCCCTCTGGACCCAGGTCCTATGAGGCACTTTTGCTATGTTGGACCCCGCCTCTGGCCTCCTACTCGCCCCTCTGCTTCTCAATAAATGCAGGCTTTTGCTTAAAACTGTTTTAGAATCCATCATGTGTTGCTTTTCTTTGTTTTCCAGACATGTTTGATCTTTTAAGAGCAAATACCGTGGTGTCCTTAAAGCCAAACACTGACCCTTACAAAAGAGTAGTCCCCGGGGTCCCCTGACTCTGCCTGCGATGTCCTCCACCACCCCGGAGATCCAGAGCAAGACCCAACCTCACCATCCCTTCTTCCCAGGGCTCTTGCTGCACGACGTGACCATGGCCGGGCTGCAGGAGCTGCGATTCCCAGAGGAGAAGCCCCTACTCCGGGGTCAGGACGTCACGGAGCTGGTGAGCAGTCCCATCACGGTCCAGGGGCAGAGCGCGCCACCTCGTGGCGAAGAAGAAAACCGCGGCCTTGATGGTCGTGCATGGACCCTGCATGCAAACAGCCACCCTGGGCAGCCTTGTCCTTGCCTTGAGAGAGTTCTAGGACCCTCCTCTCCTCGAGGAGGCCTTTGTGGTCCGGGTGTCTGATACTGACACCCGTCCTGCTGTCGCACTCATTCTCAGACCCTGCAGCACTCTGCTGTTCAGTGCCTCAGCCTCCGCAGCGCCCCGCGCAGCTTCTTACACACTGCTGGTGCTCAGCAGAGGGAGCCACAGACGGTGGTGCAGCTCCGGGGGAAGAAGTTTCTCAGAGCTTTCTAAAAAGTTCCTCTTGCCCACACCAGCCTGTCTTTTAAAGTCCATGAGCAGAGACCTTTCGGAGGTTTTGGCAAGGTGCAGGGTGACCCCAGGGGACCTCTGTATCCCATCCACATGTGCTTAAGTGGGCTGGGTAGAGAGCTCTGTTCACTGAGGCTCAGCATCTGTGACGCTGAGCAGCACCCAGGGCATCTTGGCCCCAGGGCACCTGTGTCTTCCAAGGTTCATGTACACACACACACACGCATGCACACCTTGAGAGGTGAGGAAACCCTTCTCCGCCCACCCAGCCCAGCCCCTTGTGTCTTCCTGCAGCCCTGCACAGCCTGCCCTCAGCTGGCCCCAATCTCCCTTTCCAGCTCCTCCTGCTGGCCACCAGGACAGTTTGTCGCTGTGTCTCTCCTGCGTGAGCATCTGGTTTCTTGAGGCAGTACAAGCCCTAGACTGGGGATCTGGCTACAACTGCTATTGCCTAAGGCACTGTAAAAGCCCTGTCCCCAAGCTGAAAGCAGCCTTCCTGGTTCCCAGCAAGGGCTTTCTGGGGTCCACGCTCCACCTTTGCTGCCGCGCTGTTCTCTGTAGCAACATGGGAAAGTGTCTGTCCTTTTCACTTTCTCAGTCTCCTGCAAAGCTCGGAGCCCGGGGAGGAGTAAGCAGTTGTTCCTCTGTATCCTCGAGGTCTGCGTCTGTGGTTTCAACCAACCACAGGTGGAAAGTATTAGGAAGAAGAATTTCACCTGTACTAACATGTACAGACTTTTTCTTTGCAATTAATCCCTAAATAATGTAAGTCATTCATATGGCACCTGCCTTACATTAGGCATGATATGCACTTTGGGATGAAGGTACACAGATGGGTGTGCAAAGGTTCTGTACAAACGTGGCAGCCTTTTATAGGGGGACTTGAGCACCTGTGGAACTGGGTACCCGCCTGGGCCCTGCCTCTGCGGGGCATCTGCCCGGGCCCACCATCCTCTGCCTCTGTGCACTGGCTTGCTCTGGAGGCTGCAGGGCCTGCTGGCTCTGTGGGAGACTGGCCACCGCTTCCCCATGCCTGGGTGCCCCCTGCAGTCTCCCCTCTGCCTCAGGGTCCTCTGAGCTTGCTCTCACCACCCAGTCCCTGGGCTACACATTTGTTCATCTTACTCCCGCTGGCTTTTAGGTCCTAGCCCTCCCACACATCCCATCTCTTGGGGGCCCCAGCACCCTGAGAGCACATTCAAAACCTGCTATTATCTGCCTCATCCCCTCCTGTCAGGTTTTTGTTTTTCAGAAAGCTGCCTCCTCCCTCCTTCTCAGAGATAATTGCCCCAGTAAGGTCTTGAAGATAAAAACCGCCTACATCCACTCCCCCAGCCTCCCTCTTGCAGGGACTGTGGTGAGAAAAGCCATCAGTACCAGCCCTATCCTCTTCCTTGGGGCTCCAAGAGAAGTTGCCCTCCCTCCTGGAGGAGGGGTCCCCCAGGCCTTGGTTGAACCCACTGAGGATGCTAGTTTGGCCCTTCTTCATGACACAGGCCCAGGCGGCTGGCATCTGACTGTCCTTTTCAGGTGCGACAGCCCCTGGTGCCCTCTGGTCCGCATTGTCCACCTGCCAGAATGCAGGCAGCTTCATGCTAACTCATTTGGAGAAGCAGCATCAGAGTCCTGGTGGCACTCCTCTCCTTCCCACCCTGTCTGGGCTGCTTCCTTCCTGTTGCACATGGCAGCCCAATTCTTCTCCACCCGGCTCCAGCTGCAGCCTACTCCTGACTTGATGGGTATTTATTTGATAGAGAGACTGCAGCATACCAAGCCCAGATAGAAACACAAAACACAGACTCGTAGCTCATGCTGCCCTGCAGTGGCTGCAGGACCTGGCCAGCTGGAGTAGAGGAAGCTGGCAAGGTAGACAGGAAGGTGGGCCCAGCCCACCCTGCCTTAGTTGAGTGGGTCTGTTCTCCTGGGAGCTGTCCTTCCCTTGACCCCAAAGCAACCTGTGTCTGGCCTGGGCCAGGTGCCTGGTCATCAGATGGGGAGCAGCTGGGTCACATGCCAGCCCAGGCCCAGCTGCAAGTGCCCAAGGGCTCCTTGGTGCCACCTTGCAGCCGTGTCAGCCACGTGCATTCTGAATCACCATCACCTCCCAGCCCCACCCCCACCCTGTGCAGTCAGATTGTTCATCCTGATCTGCGGAATGTCACAGCCAGACATGGTCCCTCCCTTGTGGCTGTTGGAATCCAATGGCAAGACAGCCACGGATCAAAGATGCACGGAGTTCATTGTCACACGTGCCCAAGTGACTTGAGAGCTCAAAGTGGGCAGCGCCTTGGGCCCTGGCAGTGCCGAACTAGGCAGGTTAGAAAAGCTCCTCTTTGCTGGACATGGTGGCCCTCACCTGTAATCCCAGCACTGGCGGGGCCAACACAGGAGGATAGTAGCCAACACCAACCTGGGCTACAAAGTGAGCTCCAGGCCAGCCTGAACTGTGTAGCAAGACCCTGTCTCAAAAAGATGAAAGAAAGAAAAGCACCTCATGGCACCACACGAAGTGTCCCTCAGCCCTGCCATCTGCCTCTGCCTTTCTGTCCAGATGTCAGACCTCTACGGGAGCAGGAGGACAAAGGGTCCAGGTTTGCAGTCAGAGATTCTACCACCTTGTAACCCAGGGACTCAGCCTAAGCCTCATCTTTTCCACCTCTAAAATGGAAATGTTTGCATCTGCCAAGCACTTGATAGCCTGATGCCTGGCACTTGGTAAACCCTTGGCTTAACATTAACACAATTTGGGGATCAGAAAGCCATCTGCTCTGGGCCAACCTCCATGGGACACCCAGGCCAGCAGGGACCTAACTTACTCCTTTCTATTTGCCTTCTCTTAGGAGAACCCTGACACCTTCCTCTTGGCTGTGGACACAGACTGGAAGGTAAGTCCAGGCTCAGCCGACTGAGATGTGGAACCCACCATTGTCCAGCCCCTGAACAGGGCAGCCAGGAAGGAGGGCAGGAGGATACACAAGGGAGTAAGGGATGCTGTCATCTGAATCAGCATTTTCCTCCAATGAAAGCCAGGTTGACTCCAAAATAGCTCCTGTTTCCATGGCAGCGGTTACCAGGACAACCATGTCCTCTTTACTTTGATGCCAGATTCTCCATGAAAACTGAACTTGCACTTTGTTTTTATTCTTCCACTGGCTTCACTCGCCCAGCCATTTGTTCTTCTGAGTCCCCAGCGACTTTATTTCCAGGTGCTAGAAAATGTCTAACAGCTGATGCCAGGGGAGTCTCCTGGGGTTCCCCAAACTCTACCAGCCATCCAAGCATGCTAGACAGTTCAGATCCTCTCATCCTGAAAGGTGGAAGTAGCCCCCAGGCCACTGCCCTTGTCCCTAACGACCTTGATGGGGGTCATTCTACAAGCCTGTGACAACCCCAACCCTGTGGCCTGACCGCCACACTGATGACAGAGTGGGGGAGGGGGGACTGGCTCTTCCCAGCCGGCAAGATGGGGACAGGGCACACATGTTGGTCCTTTGCTCACGCGCCTTGAAGATCAAGGCTCATGCGTCAGTCTCTGGTCATGTGCTCTTCAAGGACACAAGGGGAGGATTCAGGGCAGACAGTGCTCAGGTGCTCAGATCCCATAGGAATGCCCTGTCCAAGCGCAAGGGCTCCAGGCTGGAGGGCAAGTTGGAATCCAGGTGATTCTCATTGTCCTCTACACTGGATGAGGCTGGAAATATGTAGGCAAATGGGCTTTGAAGCGGGGACTGAAGACACTGAACCCTGGAGTGGCCAGCCCCTGCCCTGCCACTCTGGTTTTCTGGTGTGGAAGGCCCAGGCCTAGGATGCTGGCCCTGTGTGGGGCGAGGTAGAGGGGACTTCTGGGGTCACAGGGGAGGCCTAACTGCCACCGCAGCTCTCTACTGTGCCCTTTGAGTCCTAGGTAGCTGCCCTGGCAGGTGAAACCTCATTCCCAAGGCCCTTGCATGTTGAGGAAAGTGTGTGTTAAAGGGTACCCTGCTAGCAAGGCAAGGCAGCCCGTGCTTGTGGTCCCAGCTACTTGGGAGCCTGAGGCCGCAAGTTTGAACCCAGCTGGAGCAACTTAGCAAGCCCTGTCTGAGAGAGAAAGCTACGTGTAGCTCCGTGGTGGAGCACTGGCCGAGCACGTAAGAGGCCCTGGGTGATATGCCTGTACCTCCAAAAAGGAAACCACCTCCCTGCACACTCCAGGAGACAGGTGTGAGCTATTTGTTTTGTTTTTATTTAAGAGAAGTAGCCCCAAAGATAGCTTTTATCTGGGGTGTAGGCAGGGATTTGATCCCTTTTCATAGTGCCAGGCGGCGTCTCTACCTGTGGCCTCAATGGGCTCTGCCAGGAAGAGAGGTAACAAGCCTGAGAAACCGAGGCGCACCAGACAAACCCGAGTCTAGGCCTTGGCTCTGCCACCTCTTGGCCATCTGACTCCAGCACCAGCCAGGCTACTCAGCCACCTCATTACAGTGTGGACATTCGTGGGTGTACGTGGGCCCAGTACGTGGACCCTGCCATGACTGTGGCACGTGGCCCCCAGGATGTGGAGTCAGAGCCAGGCTGCCTGGGTATGGCTCCCTGTTCTGTTTCTTAGCTGTGTAGCAGTGAGCAGGTCCCCAAACCTCTGTGCTTCAGCTGCTTTCACAGAAGAGTGAGTGCCCAGAGAGTAGCAAGCCTTGGAGAGGCTGAGGCAGGAGGATTGTGAGTTCAAGCCCAGCCTGGACTGCAGAAGACGACCCTGTAAAAAAAAAAAAAAAAAAAAAAAAGAAAGAAAGAAAAAGAAAAGAGAAAAACCTGAGCTTTTGTAAAGTGTAATCCAGCAGTGAGGGAAGTGGGGGCAAGAGGACTATAAATCTATTTCCCATCCAGGCAATATAACAAGACCCTGTCTCAAAAACCAAAAAATGAAAATGTTTGGGGATGGGCCCAGTATAAAGGCCCAGCTGCAGCTCCCATTACTGCAAAAGCAGATGACAAACACTGACCCAAGACAGAATAAAATGAGGGAACACAAAATGCTTGAGTAGAGCCTGCACGTGGAAGACAGGATAATAGAAGCGCTGCTCCTGGTGATGTGACCTCAGGCTGGCGCGTAGGGGTGGGCGACTCCAGGCTTGCTGCCTGGGTGGGGAAATCACCAAGCCGCTCACGACCTTGATTCCCTCGTCCTTTCTCATGGGCTATAAGGCTTGTGTATATTTTCTTCATAAATACCTGTGCAGCTGGCATTGCCGTTTCTCCTACTCACAGAGGTGGAGGCTCAGCAAGGTTGACTGACAGGCACAAGGTCACCCAACAAAGAGGTGGCACGATGTGAGGGCACCAGGATTCTCCCAGCAGAACCTCAGCCATCTGCCTTTGGCCACAGCCCCTAAAGTCTGGAGAAACCCATGGGCTGTCCTGTCCTGCTTTCCCTCTGCAGGGCCCAGGAGAACTAGGGGCAGGGCTGAGCGATGGATGGTTTTTTCTCATACCCATAGCAACTCAGCAAGCTAGGCGCAATTCCTGTTTACAGCGGGGCAGCTGGAGGTGCAAAGGGCACAGATGTTTCCCAAGGACCCTGCTGGGGGCCAGGTGGAAGCTGGAGCCAGGTCTGTGGATTTGCAGCCAGTGAGCTGAGCAGAAATGGGGGCAGGGCAGCAACTGGGGGTGGCCAAGGGCAGGACAGCCCTCACCCAGGTCTAAGGGTGAACACAGGCCACTCAGAGGCAAGGGGGGTGAGGGCTGGGTAGGATGGTCGCAAGCCCTCTGCTCCTAGGAGAGGCACATGGGGGACCTGAGGGCAGAGCAGCTCCGCCCTGTGCTACGGCTGCCTCAGGGGTCTAGGCTCCTCCCTGCATGGGAGCATGGATAGGATGGGACATCTGAGGAGGCCCGGTTTGACACTCCTGCTGCCCTCGGGGACAGGGCAGGTGGTTGGTACCTCAGGTGCAGGATGTGGCCAGGGAAGTGCATGTGGCAGGTAGGTGCTCACCAGGTCACCCAGGACAAGGGCAGCCAGCCATGGTGCAGCTCTGTCAGTGCAGGCCAGGGCCAGCAGCTGGTGTGTCCTTCCCTGACAAGACAGAATCGGCGCCCTGCATCTGCCCTGCTGTTCACTCAGCCTGGGGCTCCCTCTGCTCGCCTCCCTGGCCTATTTCCTCTCCTCTGCTCTCTGGGACGCAAGTCTCCTTCTCCTGCCAGCAGGCATTGGGCTGGCTCTGCACCCAGAACCTAGACTCCCTGGGGGGACAGGACATGGAGTCTGAGGTGGCTCGGACTTCCTGCTCCATAGATACCCAAGCCAATCGCCATGCTGGGAGATGGTGTGCTGGAGGCAGGCACGGCCGCTTGTCGCAGGCTGCCCATTCCCTTCCTCTTCTAGCCCCTGCAGCAGAGTGGGTGGGGAGGCCAGAGCTGCTGTGTGCCCCACCACACCCCTGCTCCTGCAGCCGCTGCCCTCAGCCACTGCTTTCAGTGAGTGGCTCTGAGGGCCCTGGTGATGTGGGCACCACTAGGTGGGTGGGAGGGTGGTGGGTGCCTGAAGCAGCAGAAGGGACCTGGGTGCTCCTGTGGGGGAGGTGGGCTTTGTGTCTGGTCCCCTGGATTGTGGGCTGGGAACCCCAGGCCTTTCGTGCAGGAGATGAGTGCTGGGCTCTACCTGCCTGTGTGACCTACCCTGTCCTGATTGGGTGCACACATCTGTGAGAGGCCCCTGTGTGTGTATGGTCACAGCTTCTGCCCCCTTCCCCATGTCTATGTGCAGCTGCAGCTGTAAGCAGTGCCTGGGTGTTGGGAATGGCTGAGCTGCCAGGGCTGGGACCCTCCAGGATGATGTGTTGCTGGGTGGGAGGAGTAGGCTGGATGATGAGCTCAGAAGCCAATCAGAGCCGGGTTTGTCTCCAAGCAGCCAATCTGGGGGCTCTGGGTGAGCAAGCGGCTGTTCAGAAGCGCTGTGGGGAGGAGGGGCTGCCAGCATCTGTGTATAAAAGGCCCAGAAGCTGCTCTAGGGCCCAGAGCTGACAGTCTCCCACTCCGGCCGCCCCCTCCCTGTGGACCCGAGTGACTCAGGCCTTTGTTTGCCCTTCCTGGCCCAGGCGAGTCCCCTCCTTCGGCAAGATGCCGGAGTGTTGGGATGGGGTGAGTGAGGGCCCTGGGGCAGCCAGGTGGGCCGGGAGGATGGGGCATCTTTGTGACCTGCGGGAAGGACAGGGCGTCCCGCTGCCTGTGGTGCTTCACCTGGGCCACCCATGTAGCTGAGGGCCGGTGCTGGTTTGGTGCTGGGGGAGGGGTGCAGTCTGTTAAATGGAATGAAAGCACGGACTCCTCTCTGCCTGTGTGGCCCTGTGTACCCTGTGTGCATGCCCTGCTGACAGCGAGTCCTCTGCCTGCCATGTGCCCCCTTCCCAAGGCATCTGTGTGCGCCCTGGGACCAGTGCAGCCCATTGGGCTGGTCCCCTGTGAGCCCCGGCTGTGTCCAAAGCATGTCCTGCGGGACTGTGCCTGCAGGGTCTGTGTCCTGTCCCCATGGGGGTGGTGTTGGTATTTAGATGGCAGCCTCCCACGGATGGAGATGGGGCAGCTGGACCAGGACGGGGAGGGAACAGATTCATGCCCCAGCCTCTTCCTGCTTTAGGAGTTGCTTGCATGTCCCCAGGGTGTTTGGGTACCGCTCAGCAGAGGTGTGGAGGTCTGGACCTTCTGGCAGGACTCTAAGCAGGGAAGGGGACAAGAAGGGATCATACCTTCCTCCTGTACCCTTGGGGACAGCAGGTACCCAGCCCTAAGCAGCTCTTCCTTAAGGAAGGAGAGGCAAGGACAAACCTCCCCGCCCCCACACACCTGCCCTGCCCTACCCTGCTGGGTTCTCAGGCCATGGGGTCACCATGCAGGGAGGCCATGACACCAACCCCTGCCCGCCCATGCAGACCCTGTGCCCTAAATTATTGATGCAGCAGATGAAAGAATCTGCATGCAGCAGCTCCGCTCCTCACCATGCACCAAGCCCAACTCCCAACCCCTGCCCAGCCCCCACCCCTCGCCCTGGCCCTCAAGGTCACTGGTGAGGGGATAGGAGCTGAGAGGACATCAGAGCCCCCTCCCTGGCTGCCGCACTGCATCCCATGGGCACCCACCGCGAGGTGGGCTGGGCTCTGACATCACCAGGAGCCAATGGAAGGAAGCTCTTGGTCCTGGGAGTTGGGGGTTCGCAGTTGCACCAAGCTCCCTACCTCTAACGCCCCCTACCTTGGGCAGTACAGGACTCAAGGGAATGGGTACCTGCTGCTATCAGGCAGGGATGTGTCTGAACTCCCTGCCTAGAATGGGAGGAGGGCCAGGAGCTCGCTAGGAGGGTTAGACCAAGGTCATCAGGGACTGACAACCTGGCTAAAGTCCCTGCCCACCATGGCTGCTCAGAGCCAACTGTGTGGCTGCTGTGAGCCTCCCGCAGATGAGGCCTTCTCGGTAGGATGGCAGATGCCCCTGTCACTGCTGCTGGAGGGTGGAGGCCTGAGTTTAGAAGGTGCCCTGGGTCCTGACTTCTGTTCCCAGAGGAAGAGCTGACTCAAAGAGCTGCCTTGGGTGCAGAAAGCCTACTGTGTGTCCCTCTGCCCCTCCTCCAACCCTGAGAAGACAGGGAGTGGCTAGGATGGGGCTGGCAGACACCCAGCAGCAGTGGGCATCTGATGGGCACTGCATGCTCAGGGTTCTGTGGGGTGGAACCAGTGTCCTCAAAATGCAGCCTGGGCAGTGTGACTCAAGCGGGTGGGCCTTTAGGGAGGGCAAGCGGGGGGCCATCTGCAGGACCACAGTGATCACACTCACCAGCAGTATGGCTCCGGGGGTGGTAACCCTTGTTATTTCCTGTAGAACCACAATCCTGCATAGCAGTGTGCTGAGACCAGACCCAAGAAAGCCAGTCCCTGAGAAGCTGTCCCCTGCCGCCCGCATCTCCCCGTCTGGAAATGGGGACTGGGGTCCTCTTCCCTTGTAGAACTCATAGGAACCTAGTGCAGTCTCTTCCCAGTCACTAGCCCTTTCCTTCCTGTCCCTGGCCCCAAGTCCACCACCAGCTTTTTGGGCCTCCCTGTGGTCCCCAGGGTTCCCCATAGTACAGGTACTTGCACTCAGCTCTGCTGACCTTGAACTTTCTGACTGAGTGTCCAGGGCTACCTGCTTGCAAATGTGCCCACCAGCAGCAGAGCATCTCCCCATGGCTCAGGGCCCTCTACAGGGCTGGTGCTGTAGCTGTCACCAAGTCCCCAAGAGGTGACTCCCTGTCAAGAGGCTAGGGCACAGAGAGTCACACAGGAAGGAACAGAGTGAGGGCCTCCTAAACAGCTCATGAGCCTCAGAAGCAAAACAAAGGGCATAAACTCAGGAGGACCCTGCTTCAGCCCTGCAGCAGCCTTGGTGATCGTGGGGTGATCCACCCCTGCCTTTCTTGAAGGGGTGCCTTAGGGACACTTGGGTCACAGGAGAGGGCAGTGGTACAAAGAAGGACATGGGTGAGAGCCAGGGGTGGGAACCTGGCAGGTGTTTGGGGCTGGGCAGGGGTGGCCAGCATGGGTGCTGCTGAGGATCCCAGGCAGGGCTGCTGAGGCCAGGCCTCTCGGGCCTCAGGGAGCCTTCGAGGGCTCTGCATGGGGACCACCTGAGGGCCCAGACAGTGGCCGCACAGTGCTCTGGCTGGCACACAGGGAGACCCCGACTTCTATGAGGTTCACGTTGTCCCTGTTTTGAAGCCCACTGAGAACGGGTCTGCATCTGGCCTGGCCTCTCGGGGCTGCTGCCCATCTCTGCCCCATGGTCGGGTCTCCCAGAAGAGCCAGAAGTAAGGCTGCCAGGAGTCCAGTGCTGTCTGTACCCTCCAGGAACACGACATTGAGACACCATATGGGCTTCTACACGTGGTGATCCGGGGCTCCCCGAAGGGCAATCGCCCAGCCATCCTCACCTACCATGACGTGGGCCTCAACCGTAAGTGCAGCCCGCTCTCACCCAGCTCTCCTCCTCCTCCTCCTCTTCCTCCTCCTCTTTCCCCCTCCCTTCTCTCCCTCCCCCTCCTCCTCTTCCTCCTCTGCACTGTCTGCCCAGTTGATACTTAGACCTGTGGTCCCAGTCTCCTGGCCTGGGCTCCCCCGCTGCTGGGTGCTGAGGCTGATCATGCCTGCCCTGCCCACAGCCCTCCCTCCCTTTACTGGCTGAGATGAATGTCTTTGCAGACAAGCTGTGCTTCAACACCTTCTTCAACTTCGAGGACATGCAGGAGATCACCAAGCACTTCGTGGTGTGCCATGTGGACGCCCCGGGCCAGCAGGTGGGGGCGTCCCAGTTTCCTCAGGGGTAGGTACCCCCAGAGCCGCCCGTGCCTCTCCCCAGCTGCACACCCCAGCTGCACGCATGCTGATCTATGCTCCGCTTGCCCACAGGTACCAGTTCCCCTCCATGGAGCAGCTGGCCGCCATGCTCCCCAGCGTGGTGCAGCACTTCGGGTGAGTCCCCTCCTGGCCCTGCTGCAGCACCGTGGACCAGGAGATACCCAGCCTGTCAGTGGAGGGCTGTGGGCGGTGGGTGGGGCCTGCTCTGGAGGGATCCATGGGAAAAGGCGCCTTGCCCCAGTGAGCAGCCGCACTCCATCTGTACCAGGTTCAAGTACATCATTGGCATCGGAGTGGGAGCCGGGGCCTACGTGCTGGCCAAGTTCGCAGTGAGTCTCCCGCCCCAAGCCCAAGCTGTGACACAGTACCAGGGCCCCTTCTCTGTCCCTTCTTCCTTCCCTACACCCACCCTACCTCTTCACTTACTAGAAAAGCTCTTTGTCCTTTCTTCTCTTCCACAGAAACTAACTTGAGAAACAGCCAAGCATGGTGGTCACACCTGTAACCCCAGAGCTCTAGGAGGCTCAGGCAGGAGGGATGAAAATTTGAACCCCAGCCTGGGCACCTTATCAACTTAGTGAGACCTCATCTCAAAATTTTAAAAGGCTAGGTCCATCGTGTTTAATGTTTGCAAGAATACTTTCAAAACTAAATCAGACGGGTCTGGGGAGATGGCTCAGTGGAATAAGCGCTTCCCTGGCAAGCGCAAGGCCTGAGTTCAATCCCCAATTCCTCCAAAAAGAAAAAAGAAAAGAAAAAAAAAACTAAATCAGGCTCTGGGGATGTAGCTCCGTGGTAAAGTGGTTGCTGAGTGTGTGCCTGGCTGTGGCACCCATCCCTAGCACTGCAGAAATGGGTACAGACAGAATATGTGTTTGCACATACAGAGGGACAAGAACAGTGAGAGTCACAGGTTCTAAGTCATGGAGTGCGTAGGGTGTCAGGCTGCAAGGAGGAGTGGCAGGGGGCCTGGACCCTGTAGTCCAGTTGGCCCATCTGGGCTTCTCAAGGCCTCACAGAGGCATTCCACTTCCTCTGACCATGCCGACCACCTTGGAGACCAGCAGGGCTGCAGCTTTGCAGCCCACTTCTAGGTGGGCAGAAGGGGGCTCTCTGCCCACCCTCCCTCCGTTTCCCCTCTCCCTGCAGCTCATCTTCCCTGACCTGGTGGAGGGGCTGGTGCTCATGAACATCGACCCCAATGGCAAAGGCTGGATCGACTGGGCAGCCACCAAGGTGAGCTGGGAGCGCCTGGGGCTGGGCAGCGCCTCAAGGGCCAGCGCTCATGCTGGCCTCCCCCATGCAGCTCTCTGGCCTGACCAGCACTTTGCCAGACACGGTGCTCTCCCACCTCTTCAGCCAGGTAAGGGCTGGGACTTCTGCAGAGCTGGGCTTGTCTGCCAGCCTGCCCAACCTGGGGTGGGGGCGGTGAGGCCTCTGCTGTCTCATCCCCTATTCTCTCACCACCTCTGAGGCCCCACCTTCCCAGCCCTCCCTCTGGCCCACTGGCAGTAGGGCAAGTGCTGTTCTGAGGTGCTGCCTGCCCATCCCCTGAGCCTGCATCTCTGTCTGTGCGCCCCCCTCCACGCCTTCCCACACCCGGGCCCAGGAGGAGCTGGTGAACAACACAGAGCTGGTGCAGAGCTACCGGCAGCAGATCGGAAATGTGGTGAACCAGGCCAACCTGCAGCTCTTCTGGAACATGTACAACAGGTGTGCGCAGGGTTTGTAGACCAGCAGTATGGAGTGGGGAGACAGCTGGCTTCCTGCCCAAGGTCACAGCCTCCTGGGGGCCTCGGCAGGGAGGCTGCAGACCTGGCCCTTGGGCTCTCCTACATCTCCTCTGACTGGGTGGGAGCGCAGCAGCACTGCAGGATGTCAGTGACACCCAGATGCCAGCAATGAGGAGCAGCGGTGCCAACCACAGTGAAATGGGGGGGGGGGATGAGGTTGCAGTTTTCCTTTAATTTTTTTGTGCTACTTGGTATTGAACCCAGGGCCTTTGCCCTGAGCTACATCCCCAGCCCTTATAAAAATGTTTGCTTTTTTTTTTTTTTTTAATTTTGCAGCAGGGTCTCCTTAAATGTCCCAGATTGGGCTGGAATTTGTGAACCTCCTGCAAGGTTGTAGCTTTCCAGCTGTGCTTAGCGGTCCTTTAAGAGGAGTTGGGTGTGAGCAGCTCCCCCCTGCCTGCCTGCCTTTCTTTTGCAAATATTAAGCACTGCTTAATTAAGCACTTTCTGGAAAAGCAATAGAGACTGAGAGACCTGGGTGGAGCAGGCCCACACTCACTTGCCTGTTGGACCAGTTGGCCCAGGTGGGTTTGGGACCTCTTCCTCCAGTCCTGAGGTGCCCACCTTTGCCTCTGCTCCCCCTGCAGCCGAAGAGACCTGGACATCAACCGGCCTGGGACAGTGCCCAACGCCAAGACGCTCCGGTGAGTGACTACGGCCCTGCAGGGGCCCTGCCTCTGCCCCCTCCCCAGGCCAAACAACCCTTTCCTCTGTGTCTGCAGCTGCCCCGTGATGCTGGTGGTTGGGGACAACGCCCCTGCTGAGGATGGGGTGGTGAGTGTGCTGCTCTGCAGGGCGCTGGTGGGACCCCGGCCAGCGAGGCCAGCTCTTGATGAGGCCAAAGTAGCCTTGGGGACCAGCACCAAGGGCGGGCTTCCCATCCACCTCCCGCCGGCTGCCACACATCCATTCCCGGGGTGCCCAGTCCTGCAGGAGGGGTTCAGGGGCCACCACCTGAGGTGCCCCCTGTGCCTTCCCCATGCAGCTCCCATTCAGCCTCCCTGTACTTCAGGCCAGAGTTTCAGATCTCTTTCCTCTAAACTTCAGCCAGCATCCCATGGATTCACAGGAACAAGGGCACTCTTCCCATGTGTCCCCACATCTGGAGTGCCCAGAAAATACCTTCTGTGCTCATGAAGAGGCTGGCGGGGCAGGGGTGTGTGCTGGCACAAGCGGGCCTGTCTCCTGCTACACCCCCTCACCTCTACCCAGCCTATTTGGCCGTTGGGGCTTTTGCAGACCCTTCCGAATGGGCTCTGAAGGGCGGCTCACTAATCTCCAGAGCCTAGGGAATCCCTGAAAGGCATAAGCCAGGAGGCCAACCTCCTCCAGGCCCTAGGCCCACGCTTGCCCCTGGCCCTGCCCCCCTCTCCTCTGGGCGCAGACAAGGCCTTAGCGTTGGGCTAGGGGTATTGCTGAAACTGGCTCCTTGTCCCCAGGTCGAATGCAACTCCAAACTGGACCCGACCACCACGACCTTCCTGAAGGTGAGTGTGCTGCAGGAGCACCCCTGGCCCAGCCAGGGCAGGAGCACACAGGTCCTCCACCTGGACCTGCTCAACTTACCTCATTCTCTCCTTCGTAGATGGCAGATTCCGGGGGGCTCCCTCAGGTCACACAGGTGAGGAGGCTTTTGGCACTCCTGCTGGTGGGAGCAGGTGGGGCGTGGGGCTGGGGAGGCCTTCCCTTCTACCAAGCTTGGGAGACCTGATCAAAATGTGTGCCTGTGTTGTCCTCCTCCAGCCAGGGAAGCTGACCGAGGCCTTTAAATACTTCCTGCAAGGCATGGGCTACAGTGAGTACTGCCCACTGCCCCACCCCAGAAATGGTGGGCGGGCCTGAGGGCTGGCTGGGCTGGCACACTGTGTTTGAGCTGAGGACCTATGGCTGTAGAAACACTGTGTTACTACCCCAGGTGCTGGGTCCCCTCATCCCACTCCACCAGTCAGTGTGTCCCAGCCCAGGCCCAGCTCTCCTGTGCCCATGCAGAGGCCTCAGAGCACTGTTTTGAGGGCAGGGCTGGGTCTGTTGGGAGAGGACTTTTCTCCCAACCCCAGCGGTCCAGGGCCTGGCCTGGGTGCTGTCAGAGAAACCTGTTTACGGTGAGTCTCACACTGTGTGGGGGCTAGTGGCTCATCTGGGCCCAGGGACCCCAAGAGACCTTTGGCACAGGTGGTGGGTGGTACCCAGGGGCATCACAGGTATAGGTTGGAGGGCAAGGTCCAGAAAAGGCAAGTGGGACCTTGTGCTGTTAGGAGAGCCAGCTGCAGGCAGCCAAACCTGGGGAAGATGAACGTGAAACTCAGGAAATGAGCCATGGGGTACTCCCCAAGTTTCCCCTTGAATGATGAGACCCCAGACTGTACTTCCAGTCCCCACACACAGCTCTGGGGATACCAGTATAGCCCCTGGCCCCTGTTTCCCTCCCCTGACCTAGCACTGCTCTACCAGCCCCTCACTGCTGGGAAGCAAACTTCCCCTCCCTTTCAGCCTCTGGATCTTGTGTCTCCTTGGGAGGAAGGTGAGGGAGATGGGGGCACAGCAGGAAGGGAGCTCCCACAGCCCATAGGCCACCCAGCCTCTGCGCCAGGAGAAGGGCAGAGAGGCCCAGGCCTCCAGGGTGGCCCAGTGGGCTCTGAGCCAGGCCCTATGCTTGCAAGAAGGAGTGGATATTTGTGAAGTGACAGATGAGCAGCACTTGCGAGGTGCTGGGTATATTCCTAGGGCCCTAGGAGTTAGGAGGGATTCTGCATTGGGGAGACTGAGACCCCACAGAATCCCAAGGACCCTGGGACTAGGCTATGGGCCTGAGAGGCCTTGCTGACAGAAGCCTGGGCTGCAGAAGGCAGGTGAGATGAGCGCCCCCATCTTGCTGGCAGGACTTGCTTGGGCCCCTTCAGAGGGTCCTAGGGCGGGCAGGCAGGAGTGGGCTCCTGAGGCTTGGCCCTGCCCGGCCCTCTCTCTGTTTGTCCATCCATCTGTGGCCTATCTCCATGTCCCTGCCTCGCCCACCCACGATCTTCACTGTGTTCTGTATCTCCCCATCTCCGCCTCTCTGGCTCTGTCTTCTCTCTCAGTTGCGTACTTGAAGGACCGGAGGCTGAGTGGAGGAGCAGGTAGCCCCTCGGCCCTTCTCCCGATGCATGGTCGCCCCTTCCAGCCTTTCCCTGCTCCTTCTCTGTGCAGTGCTGCAGCCAGACCGCATCTTGCTGTTTTGGAAACTTCTTGTACCCTGCTCAACTCCAAAGCCCACATGATTTGCGCTCCTTTGCCAATGCTGGAGACTTGGTCCTGCTGAGCAGCTTGAGACTGGGTCTTAGGGCAGTCTCACTCCTAGGTTGTCAGGGGCTGAGGGCCTCCTGGAGCGCTGGGAGTTGGAAGTGCAGGCTCCTCAGATGCAGAGCCTGCTGGCCTTGTGGGCAGTCAGTCAGCCTGGGCCTGGCCTAGCCAAACAGGTGAACAGGCGAGTTTAGAAGGGAAAAGCTCGTGCCATGCAGCTCACTTGCAAAATTCCAAATAAGGGCTTCCAGAAATGGGACTGAGGGCAGCCTATCGCCATGACTCCATGTCCTTTCCAAAGGTGGTCCTGCTTCCCCACCCTGTCATCTCTTGTGGGAGGCCATGCTAGGAGAAGCACAAACCCGTGCCGGCTCGGGGCTGCCTGGCCAGTGCTGGCCCTGCATGCCTCGGGCTTGAAGGGGCTGACGGGTGCCCTGGCTTGGGGCTGGGCCTTGTCTGGAAGATTGGTCTCGCTGGTGCTTTGCTTGCCTTATCCTTTGCCCAGCTGCTGGTGCCAGGCCCTACTTGCCAGTCCTCAACCTGTCCCTTTCTGCCCTCAGTGCCCTCTGCCAGCATGACCCGGCTGGCGCGTTCACGCACCGCATCACTCACCAGTGCTGGCTCTGTGGATGGCGGCCGCCCACAGCCCTGCACCCACTCCGAGAGCAGCGAGGGCCTGGGCCAGGTCAACCAAACCATGGAGGTGTCCTGCTGAAGCCCTGGATCAGCCCCAGACGCTCACCCGCCCTCCCACCCTCACCAAGGTCCCACTGCCATCCCTGCGCCAGCTCATTTTCCCTTTATTTTTGTGAAGGTGAACAGGAGGAAATGGGGTTACTTCTCTTTTGTTTAAAAAAATATGAGGGCTCCACCTTGGGTGCTGCAGCAGAACCGTCTTCAGATGGTTTGTGGGGCTCCCCCTCCTCATTTCCCTCTGTTGCCTTGATCCATCCCTCTCATCCAGCCCCACACCCAGGCCCTGGGGGGGGGGTGGTAGAGGGGGGTTGTGACTAAGGAAGGAGTTGGAGCCCTTCCCGGGCTGGGATCTGGATCATCCCAGATTAAAACCCTTGCCAGGAAAGGGAAAGACCCATGAGGGTTTGACATGATTGGTGCCAGGCTCCGACCCTGATGTAGAGGCCTGGAGACAGCAGCAGGGCACACTGGAAGGCCCTGTCCCCTCACTGCGCCCCCCCCCCCAGCACACCTGGACTGTAGCCACAGGGGGAAGCTGGTATCCTGGCACCCTCTGGGCTGGCTGGTGCTGCAGAGCTAGGCAAGTGGGGTCTGAAGATAGAACTTGGAAAACACATGGTTTGGCCACCACTCGGCCCTGTCCCATTCTGAGCCAAGAGCTCCCTGAGGCAGAAGTCTCTTGGTCCTGTTTCCCTAGTGACCTGGCTGGGAGCAGAGGAAAAGTCTGAGATTGCTTTTGGGTAGTGTGCATACCTCTGAGAACTTCCGTGTAACTACTCTGGAAGCCAGCAGGGGGCTCAGGGCAGGGGAGCTGAGGACTCCTATAGACCTGGCTGCCTTGGTGGTTGCCAAAGGGCAAACCCCCAGCCCGCATCACTGAGGGGGTCAGTACATCAAGAGCAGTCAGCCCTAGGCAGCTGCAAGGCTTCTGGAAGGGGGATGACTGGAGCTTGCTGAGTCCTGGGGTGAGGGCTTAAGGTTCTTGAAGTGAACAGGACCAGATAGAAGTGAAAGGTTCCTGCACGCCCCAGCCCCTTCCTGACACATAAGCCCAGGATTGTGTCACTTACTTTGATCCATGGGACCTTGTCAGGTGGAATCTCCCAGCCCAGAAACCAGAGCCATTTGTCTTAGGTCCTATATCAACTGTTACAAATCCCCAGACAGAGCAGGAGGAGAGCACTGGAAAAAAGCTGAAGGGCTGTGGTCGTGGGGAGGGCTGTGTGGGGTGCTCTGAGGCGGAGAGGACACCTAGATCCACGTTTCACCAACACATCCCTTCCATCATCTTAAGCCACTGCTAGCCCGAGAGCCTGGTGGAGTGTAGTCTGCCCTGGTTCTGCTCATTCACGTGCTTCCTTTGAATACTGAATGTGACTGTAAGGCCGGTAGAATAATCCCTCAAACTGTAGATAGCACTGCGAGTATTGTTTTTTCCTTTTTGCTGTGTTCTTTCAGATGAGATATATAAATACCTACCTTATATATAAATATATGTATATTGGGTCTTCCTGCGTGTGGTTTTCCCTCGGAGGTTGTCTCTGGTCAAGGTGAATTTATTTTCCTCTCTGTACAAAGAGCCTACTTTTGTGTATTCTGGTGGCTGATGTCATGAGATTTTGAGATGACACAATGTAAAACAAGTAAAAACCCTTGTCGATATAGAAAGTTAACTGTACTGAAAACTAATAAAGAAACTAAGAAGAGCGCGGCTGTGACCTTCGTAGGGGCCAACTGTTGACTACTTCCTCAGGGGCTGGGGCTCAGGTGGGTGCGGGATTATGCATGTCTGCGTTTCTGGTAGAAACACGCCTTATCTCGCCAATCTTAACATCACTTCTACACACCGGATGTGTTTCACAGCTGATGGGGTGTTGCTTGGCTTCCAAAGCCCTCCCCTGAACTCAGGCGCTTCCGCTTCCGCTTGTCAGGCAAGCACTTAACTCTACTGAGCCATGACCCCGGCCCCTGAGAGTACAGATTTTGTCCTCATACCCAGACCAGTACCCAGGAAATCGCAGTTCTCAGGGAAAGACGGAAGTGACAGGTGGTTGGGAGCCAGGTATAAGTTAAGAGACCATGATTTTTTGGCGTGAGCGTTTTCTTCTTTTTTTTTTTCTTTTTGAGGCAGAGTTTATGCAGTTCAGGCTGGCCTGGAACTCAGTGATCCAGTCTCCCAAGAGCTGAGATTACATGCATGCACTGCCACGCCATCCGAAATTACCATTTCCTAAACTCAACTGGAATCGCCAAAGTCAAAAGTAGGCTGGGGGAAAAAAAAAGGCTAGAGAGGGAGTCGTCGGACCTCCCCTTCCGCGCGGTCGCCGAGGACGCACGCACTTCCGGTGCGGCCCTTGGGGCGGGGCCGGCGCTGCCGGAAGCGCGCGGAGCATGGCGACACGGGCCAAGCGCGCGCGGCGGAGTGGAGGCCGGCAGGCTGGGGCGCCGGCGGGTTCCCTCGGCCCCTGCGTCGCTCTCCGGCGTCCTTCCACCGCCGTCGAGGCCCCGCGCGCGTCCTCCCAGGTGGCGCGGGGCGCGGGCGGCAGCGAGCACGACCCGGATCCCGTAGCCGGCTTCCTGAGCTGGTGCGGACGGGTGGGGCTGCAGCTGAGTCCCAAGGTGAGCGGGCGGCGGGCGGCGGGCGGCGGGCGGCGGGCGGCGCTCTGACCCGCCTCTCCGCTGCTGCAGGTGGCGGTGAGCAGGCAAGGCACGGTGGCCGGCTACGGAATGGTGGCCCGGGAAAGCGTGCAGCCGGGGGAGTTGCTGTTCGCGGTGCCTCGGGCCGCGCTCTTGTCGCCGCAGACCTGCTCGATCGGCGGCCTTCTGGAGCAAGGTGGGCGCGAGCGGGCGGGCCGGTCCCCGGGCGGGCCGCGCGGGTCGCCCCGGGCGCTCACCCCCGTGTCGTCCCCAGAGCAAGACGCGCTGCAGAGCCAGTCGGGTTGGGTGCCGCTGTTGCTGGCGCTGCTCCACGAACTGCAGGCCCCAGCCTCACGTTGGAGCCCCTATTTTGCTCTCTGGCCGGAGCTGGGCCGTCTGGAGCACCCAATGTTCTGGTGAGCGTCGAGGGCTTGGGAGCACCGGCATTAGCAACCTGCTCAGACACCCCGCCGTGGGTGCCCCAAGCTCCAGACCCGGTAGTGAAGGGAGCGGGGCGGGGATGTCCCCACAGGCCTGAGGAGGAGCGGCGGCGCCTGCTGCAGGGTACCGGTGTCCCTGAGGCTGTGGACAAGGACCTGGCGAACATCCGCAGCGAGTACTACGCCATCGTGCTGCCCTTCATGGAGGCCCATCCAGATCTGTTCGGTCCCAGTGTCCGCTCCCTGGAACTCTATCGCCAGCTAGTGGCCCTTGTGATGGCCTATAGGTCAGCGAGTAAGGGCTTCGAAAATTGGCCCTTTAACTATTGATGGACTGGGGGTGGGTGAGAAGAGTGAACGCCTCTAGGGCCTCATCTAAGCCTGAGCCTTAGGCAAGATCTCTCTGGCAGTTTTCAGGAACCCCTGGAGGAAGAGGAAGAGGAAAAGGAACCAAACTCCCCATTGATGGTGCCTGGCGCTGACATACTAAACCACTTAGCCAATCACAATGCCAATCTAGAGTACTCTGCAGTGAGTTTATCCCACCTAGTTCTCCTTATTGCCTTGATGAGTGGGCATCTGATTCAAGCGTGTTGTCACTGCACTCCGATTTCCTACTCATCCTAAAAATGAGGTGGTTAACTCCTATACTTTGGGCATCTGCACTGCAGTAAAATCATTTGAACATTTTTAAAGCCCTCAAAATTGTAGCTAAAAGGGGCCGGGGAGATGGCTCAGTGGAATAAGTGCTTCCCTGGCAAGCACAAGGGCCCGAGTTCAATCAGCAGTTCCGGAAAAAAAAAAAAAAAAAAATTGTAGCTAAAGCCGGGTGTGGGTGTGGTGGTGCACACCAACAAGATAGGAGGACCAAAGGCCTCTAGCATGGCACTCTCCTTACCATCTTCTTTGGAACTTGTGTTGAGTGGTATGCACAGCCATGCTTAATTCCCTGGGAGTGCACCAAGATCTGCTTACCCTGTGGTAACAGCAGATAACTGCTAGCCTCAGTCTCAGATCAGACCATGTGGGAATCTCAAGACCAGAGGTCTAAGGTACTCCCTTTTAGAACTGTCAGTTCTGTTCTGTATGGAAAATTGTGAGAAAAGCATACATCCATGGTTTTAATAATCAGCAAATGTAGCTGTTAATTTCGTAAAGCTTAACTCACTGGGGGAGGCAGTACTGGAGATTGAAATCAGAGCTTTTCACGGAACTACATCCACAGCCCTTGTTTAGAACAGTCTTCCAAAATTGTCCAGGCTAGACTGGGACTTGGGATCCTTCAGCCTCAGCCTCTGCATGCTGGGGCAGGAGGCATGTGCCACCACACCCAGCTTAGTCCTCTTGATCTGGGCTTGACTGCTTATAAAGCTGTTGGCAGTGCTAACATGACTGAGCAGAGAAAGAATACTGCGTGAAGCTGACCTTTTGTTTTCCAGTACAGCCTGTGACAGGAACCAAAGATAGAATAGTGTAAAGCACTAGTGCCATGGCTGGTACCCTGCTTAAGGCTCTTCCTAAGGCAGTAACCTTCCCAGGAATGGTCTGGCAAGGGTGTGGCCCCAGCTTCTCCCTTTCATCCAGGATTACCTTAGGATGGTGGCCACTCGATCCATTCCCAAAGGCCATGAGATTTTCAACACTTACGGGCAGATGGCTAATTGGCAGCTGATTCACATGTACGGTTTTGTTGAGCCATATCCTGACAACACAGATGACACAGCTGACATTCAGATGGTGACTGTTCGTGAAGCAGCCTTACAGGGTGAGTAGGCATCAGCTGGAGTCTTTTTTTTTTTTTTTTTTTTTTGGCGGAACCAGGGATTGAACTCAGGCCCTTAAAGTGCTTATTCCACTGAGCCATATCCCCGGCCCCCATCAGCCCGAGGCTTAAGGGTTATGTAGCTCTGCTGGGTAGCCATTAGATTCTTGGAAATGAGCACTTGGGTATATCCAAGGCTTTTCTGTCACTTTACAGGAGTGAAGGGGGAAGCTGAAAGGCTCCTCTTATTGGAACGCTGGGATTTCTTATGCAAACTGGAGATGGTAGGGGAAGAGGGTGCGTTTGTGATTGGGCGTGAGATGGTGCTGACTGAAGAAGAGCTGACCACCACACTCAAGGTAAGGGCTGAAAACAGCCTAACACTTAAGAGACAGATTAAAACTATTGAGTGAAATAAAGGAAGATGAGAGGAAAGGGGGCAATGCAGAGGATAGTTTAGGCAGGTGTCTCTGAATCTATTTAAAAGTCACAGCTAAGACCAGCCAAATAATTAAGCAGGTGGACTAGGGGGTTTGATCATTCCATGCCCCCAGAGCTTGCTGAGACAGACTGGGTGTGGTGGCGTGCACCTATAATCCCAGCTCTTTGGGAGGCTGTAAACAGGTGGATCACTACGAGTCTGATCTTGTAGTGAGACCCTGAACCCCCTGTAGACCCTTCCCTAAAACACAGGGAAAAAGTCACAACTAAGTAAATCATAGGGGCTGGTGAGATGGCTCAGTGGTCTAAAGCACCTACCTAGAACAAGCTAAGCAAAGCACAGGGACCGCGGTTCAATCCCCCAGCACCACATGCCAGCAAGCCCCGCCCCCTGGTGAGCTAAGCTGGCCACACACAAAATTTTTTTTTAAATTGCTAAAATAAAAACTAAGTAAATCATAATAAAGAGCCCCATGTTTGCTACAAGGTACTGTGTATGCCTGCTGAGCAGTTCAGAGCCCTTAAGGACCAGGATGGATGGGGACAGAATGAAAGGGAAGAGGACAACATGACAATCGCCAGTATCCCCAAACTCAAAGCATCGTGGAAACAGCTGCTTCGAGACAGTGTTCTGTTGACCCTGCAGACCTATGCCACAGACTTAAAAACTGAGCAAGACATCCTCAGTAACAAGGTGGCCTATGCCAAACTCAGCTGGAGGGAGCAGCAGGCTCTACAAGTTCGCTATGGGCAGAAGATGATCTTACATCAGTTGCTGGTGCTGACAAGTTAGCTCCTGCTGCCTGAAGGTAAAGCAATAAGACTATTACTAGCTGTTAAAAGGGAAAGTAACAGTGACATTAATTTGAAAGTAAGGGTGACATGTTTAAGGATGGTCAGCAGACTTGGGCATCATAGCTGTTACTTAAGATGACCTGGGGTAGGGCAGAGACAAGTCTCACTACCTGTGATCAGCTTATCTTTGCCACATCCTCAAGGTGCTGGGGCTCTGGGCATTATCATGGCCAGCTAGCTACAACAGAAGTCAGCAAAGATGGTATTAACAGCCTAAGAGAGCATGGGACTTTGGAGGAAGACATCTACTGTGGAACACTCACTCTACCTTTTTTTGAAGCCCCCATTTCCTGGAGAGGACTTAAAGCTATATAATCAGCACTGGATTGGATCACTGGTTGCTGTACCTATAGCTTCTGCTGACTTAGCAGTCTGAGGTCTGTGCTAGGTGGTACAGCTTGCCCTTCAAGAAGAAACCCAAAGACATTAAAAGTTCACTGGCAACAAACTTTAATCCTGAAACTGTCTTCCTTCTAGCCATAAAACTTGGTGACTATTAAAGGTAATGGTAAACACAACATTATTAGTGCCAGGAATCAAACTCAGGGCCTCCCACTTGCCAGGTAGGCGTTGTGCTGCTGAGCTACATCCCTACTCAGAGATCTAGTTTTAGTATCTATTTAAAAGAAAACAGAGGGCTGGCGAGATGGCTCAGTGGTCTAAAGCACCTACTTAGAACAAGCTTAGCAAAGCACAGGGACCGCGGTTCAATTCCCCAGCACCACATGCCAGCCAGCCCCGCCCCCTGGTGGGCAGAGCTGGCCACACACACACACACACACACACACACAAAATAAATAAAACAGGGCTGGCAAGATAGCTCAGCAGCATAAGCAGTTCTTGGCAAGCATAGCAAGGTCCCAGGTTTGATCCTTGATACCATATACACAAGAAAAACAAACAAAAACACTGGTAGCCCTGGATTGGATCACTGGTTGCTGATTTTTTTTAAATTTAGTATGGCCAAGGCTGGCCAAATAGCTCAGTGGATTAAAAGCACCTGCTTAGGCAGATGCAGGGACTGGGAGTTTGATCCCTGAGCCTGCAGTGCCGGCCATGCCCCTAGGGCACATTCAGATGGCAATTGAGACTGGGCATGCAATATAAATTCATAAAACACTTAAATCCTTATGAAAGGGGTTGCATTTGTCTGACTTTTCTGTTGTTCAACACTGGCTGTATAGGATAAGCAGAGAGAGGTATAAGACTTCACACCTCAGTTTCAAGTAGCATGAGTGATGAAGAGGCTTTAAGCCTCCTCATTTGGAACCAAGGTGGAGATTATTTAGCAGGACCTGAAGGGTGGTCCCTGTGGTCCGCTTTACAATAACTTTGAGAAAATAGGCAAAAACCCTGTGGGAGCTCAATGATCAGCCCTTTTGTGTTTTACCACAACTACCAATTTAACTAGTTTTAAGGTCTCCTATCCACATTGAAAAATATACTGTGTAATATTTAAACTGGATGATTATTCTTTAGGACAACAAGCCTGGCCCTCAGACATGTGCACAACTTTGAGTGCCTCTATTTCAGGGTACTAGTTTATGTACTTGCCTTGAACACATTTTGCACAGACTCAAGTTTGAGACAAAAGTTTTTCTTTTTCATATATTTACACAAGTTCAAAGTGATATTCACAGCATGTTCTAAATTTTGGCCAAGAGTCAAAAAAAAAAATGCATTTAAACTTTGGAACGTGCCCACCTAGATAGGAGGCTGGCTCCAACAGTTAGTGGGACAGATACCCGAGAACCAAAGGGCTAGGAAAGTCAGAGTTGAAAGGAGTCTTCAGTTTATGAACTTGGTGCAGTGGGACTGGACCTTGAGGCTGACACCTTTACAACAGAGACACAGTTCATCTAACTGGCACCTGTCCCTTCCATTACTTGCTGTGCCTGCTTCTGTCCCATGCAGCACTGTGCAACCGACTGGAACAACCTAAAGAAAGGAGATGGTGACATGTACTTGTCAGCAAAGTTTAGAACAATACCTTCTAAATAATAGTAAACAATGTACTAACAATGTACTAACTCATGCTCAATCTTGTTTTTCACTGCTAAATAATTAAAAAATTACTTTCAACTCACTTTTCAATTTCTGGGGCACAGTGTACAAATTCATGGTTCCAAAATTTAAATGCTGGGTTTTTAATCAGCTCAATGAAAGTAATAAGAAGACCCCAAGGATGTGGCCTATTTACAATCAACCGTTCCAAGAGAACCCTGGAAAATGGAAGAAACAGTTAACATGCAAAGAAAAATTCATGACCATAGCTCAATCACTCACAATGTGGGGTTTAATTTTACAAAAAGTGTCTAATACAGACTGCATGGTTAACATATGTGGATTCTGGTTAGAATATCTGGATGGGTCTTGGTCCTGAGCTTAAGGGTTAACAATGATGGAGGCAGAACTGTTGAGAGAGTAAGGAGTGTGTGGTGGGGACACACACATACTTATAATTCCAGTACTCTTGAGAAGGCTGAGGCAGGAAGATCACAAATTTAAGCTGAGCCTGGGCATTTAGCACAACCTTGTCTCCAAATTTAAAAAGGAATGGTGCACACTTGTGTCTGCAAAATGCAAAGCCCTGGGTTCAATCCCTAGTAAGGCAAATATGTGTGCTGCTGTTGCTGCTACCACCTCAGAACTTTCTGCTGGTTAATGCATGCAGGTCTTGTCTATTCTGCCACAAAGACAATCACAACAGTAATTACAGTTCTATATTCCACAAGAATATTCTAAATTCTGTATCTGTAATATATAACCATCACAGTAAATATCAGGAGGGTAGGGATCTCTATTTTGTTCACAGCTGTATTCTGTGTTTCACACAGTATTACCAAACACTGCAGAAAGAAAAAACCCCTAAGAGTTCAAAATGAATGGGATAGGACAGTGACCCTCTGAGCTTTCAATAAACAGCCCTCTGTGGCACTGGTACCATAGGTTCACCACCATTGGTATAGGGAATATTTATTATTTTTTTGCAGTACCAGGGATAGAATTCAGGACCTTGCATTTGCACTGAGCTATCTTCTCTGACCTAGGGAATACTTTTGATGCCTTAGAAAAAAAACCTCTCAGGGACAGCCAAATATCTCAGCCAATTAAAGCCCCTGCTTGGGGTTGGGGGGCCTGCTATGTTAACCCTGCCACTGGGGCGCACCGAGACGGCAATTGAGACTGGGCATGGTGGTGTGTGCCTGGAATCCCAGCTCTTGGGAGGCTATACACAGGAGAATCACTATGAGTCTGATCTAGAAGTAAGACCCTGAACACTCTGTAGACCCTTCTCTAAAAAAATACAAAAACGAAACACCTCTCACCTTGTAATCTGTTCCTGGATAGCTTCAGTGTTGGCTTCTGCAAAAAGGTACAGCATGGTGCAGCTAAAGTAGTGAGTGTGGCTATTTGGGTACCGCAGCTGATTTGCAATTGCATTCAAGAAGAGATACCGACCTAGAAATTAAACACAAGGGTAGTGAGGATTTGCTCTGAAAGCCAACAGAAACAGCTGTCTAGGACTTGGGTTTCTGATACAGACTCAGATTACTCAATGACCTCATTTCTCAAGAGCCCTCAAATAGGAAAGATGGCAGTACGTATTTCTAAGAGGGAGTTTGTCGCTGACAGCATCTTCAAAGCTAAACTGAATGAGTTCCTCACTAGGGAGCTGGCTGAAGTTAGCTACTCTGGCACTGAAGTCCAAGTTACACCCACCAGGACAGGTATCGTTATTTTAGCCATCAGGACACAGAATATTCTTGGTGAGGAGGGCCACAGGATCCACAAGTTGACTGCTGTCGTTCAGAAGAGGTTTGGCTTCCCTGAGGGCAGAATAGAGCTTTATGCTGAGAAGGTGGCAACAAGAGGTCTCCATGCCATCACTCAGGCAGGGTGCATTATGAACTCCTAGGAGGGCTTGCGGTGTGGAGGACTGCTAGGTGTGCTGCGGTTCATCATGGAGAGCAGAGCCATGGGCTGTGAGGTGGTGTCTGGGAAACTCCGTGGACAGAGGGCTACGTCCATGAAGTTTGTGGATGACCTGATGATCCACAGTGGGGACCCCGTCAACTACTATGTTGATGCTGCCATGCAGTATGTGCTGCTCAGACAGGGTGTGCTGAGTATCAAAGTAAAGATCATGCTGCCCTGGGATCCAAGTGGTAAGACTGGCCCCACAAAGCCTCTGCCTGACCATGTGAGCCGTTGTGGAACCCAAAGATGAGATCCTGCCTGCCCACCACTCTCATCTCAGAGCAGAAGGGTGGGAAACCAGAGCCACCTGCCATGCCCCAGCCATTCCCTACCACATAACAGGGTGTTCCTGGCAGCAATATCTGAAAATGGAGGCTGCTGTGTGGAGACATTTAATAAATCTTGCACAAAGACAAAAAAAAAAGAGCACCTAAATGATTTTTTGGTCTTTGAGACAAGGTCTCACAGTAAGTAGTGCAGTCTGGCTTTGAACTCACCCTGTCATCCAAACTAGCCTCAGTCTCCCAAGTGCTGGAATTATAGTTGTGCACCATCAAATCTGCCCACCCCAAAGAATTCTCTGTGGGTTTTACTGCTGTATTTCCCATTAAAAGGAGTAATTTCTAAACACTCATTTTAAAAAAAGACTCACTATAAATGTAACATGTTAGTGTTCTGAAAAAAAAACTTCTTAACAGTTTCACTTTTACATTTTGCAGATTTCTTTATGGTAGAAAACAGCAGATTCTTCTGCCTCTGCATCCTGAAATACTACTGTATTTCATGTAGCCTCTTGAAAACTCCTCTTAGAATATGAGCAATCAAGTTATGAAAACAGTTGTGACCCAGTAGGCTTCCTGAGAAGTTCTTAAGGATACCTTGAATGGTTCTCAAACCATACTTTTTGCGGAACTGGGGATTGAACTCAGGTCCTTGTGCTTGCCAGGGAAGTGCTTACTTAGTCCACTGAGCCATCTCTCTGGCCACTCAAACCATAATTTTTTAAGGACTACTATTTTGAAATACCAGCTGGCTTTAGCTGTCTACTTTGTTTGACATTATTTGTGTTTGTGAAGACTGTCCTGCCTTATCTTTATTGTTGAGGGTTATTTTTATTTTTTTTTAATTTTATTTATTTATGTGTGTGTGTGTGTGTGTGTGTGGCCAGCTCAGCCCACCAGGGGGCGGGCTGGCTGGCATGTGGTGCTGGGGGATTGAACAGCGGTCTCTATATTTTGCCAAGCTTGTTCCAAGTATGTGCTTTAGACCACTGAGCCATCTCACCAGCCCTTGAGGGTTATTTTTAAAGCAGGGTCTTGTGTTATGTGGTCCGGTTGCCTTGAACCCCCACGTAATCCAGGCTGGTCTCAAACTCATGGTGATCCTCCTGCTTCAGCCTCCCAAGAGTGCTGATACTACAGGTGTATGACCCCAATCCCAGCTTTCAATTAGGTTAAATTTTGATTTTCAAGTTCTCACAACAAAAACAGGCAAGCAGTACATATACTCAATAATTATCATCTTAAGTGTCCATAGAAAATTAGAAGTGCTGCTAAAGTAATGAAGACTGTAGCTGGTCAACACTTAGCTGAGATCTCTATTACCTAAGAATAAATAAAACACCAAAGGCAATGCAACTCAACCAGGAAAGATATGGACTGCAACAGGAGGCATATTGTTAATTTCCTGTAGAAGGAGGAAGA